TGAAAATAGTTTTTAAAGTTTCTAGGATTTCTTGCAAGTTTAAGTTACAGTTCGATTAATATTTTGATAGAAAAATGTTGTAATAATGTTTTGCGTCATGCTCTTCTTTAGAGGTTAAAAATATAAACCAAAGAAAATGTATTCTTCAAGGTACTGGTATCATCTTTTAATCAATAACCTTTCTGAAATTTTGTGCAGTACGTTTTTGTATATTTTGAAGGCATCGTTACAGTTTATGTTTGACTTAGTCAAGGTTTATTAAGCCCTTATATGCTGTTGTAGTTACACTTTACTCTAACCGTTGCGAGTACGTTGAACTTGGCCATTTTCAACGAAAATTTGAGTTTTATTTTTTTTTTCAAATTTTGACCTAAATGCCAAGGCTTTAAAGGTTTAAAAAATATGTAACGATTGGAACAAAAGCGCACAAAACTTTTTTGACAAGCTAGTACAGGATTGTTAACGGAATGACGACGGAATGATGATATAAAGGACAAACCCGAATTTATTGCAACGCACATAAACAGCTGTGACTTTTTAACCTCGGTAACAAATGACTTGAAATTTTCAGAGAAGATTTTTACACGATTTTTTAGTGAGACAACATTCGACCAGGGTTCAATGGCAAACTAATACCCTCTTTTCAAATAGGGAATCCAAAAGCTGTCTTCAAACTTTGTACAGTTGCGAAAAAGTCTATCCTCAGAATTCCTTCAGGTTCTTTTAGAAGTTTTTAGAACTCTATGAACTCTTTTGAAATTCTTCTCAGAAGTCCTCATGAATTATTTTTAGAACTCTTCTTGACTTTTACTCAGCACACCTTGGAACTGAAATTCCCTTAGAGTTTCAGAAGAATTTCCTCAGTATTATCCAGAAATTATTCCCGGAATGAGCTCGGAATTATCGGTTCTCCTTTGCCATTTTATTCAAAATCCCCTTGGAATTGCACTCAAAATATAATTTTCTCGGTATTCTTTTCGAAATTATATTGGAACTATCTACAGGATTAACTAACCATTACCCGCTAAATTTTCTTGGAATACTTCCCAGAAATCCTTTGGACTGTCCTCAGAATTCAATATCCTTGAAATTCTTGTCGGAATAATTTAGAACTTTTTTTTTTCAGTTCACCATGGAACTGAAATTCCCCTAAAGTTTCAGAAGAATTTCCTCTGTATTCTCAAGAAATTTTTCCCAAAATGAGCTTTAAATTATCCCCGGAATTTCCTTGAAATTTTCCCCAACATCCCTTTGGAATTTCATTTAAAATTTGATTCTCTCGGTATTCTTTTCGAAATTATCTTAGAACTGTCTGCAGGATTCACTAGAAATTATTCGCAGAATTTTCATGGAATCATCCCCAGAAATCATTTCTTTTATAACTTTCCTCAGAACTCAATACCCTTGAGGTTCTTCTCGGAAGTCAAGTTTAAATTGTCCGACCATTCACCAAATCGTTGTAGTTTTTCTACCAGAAATGTTCAATAAAGCTTGCGACTTCATTCATCAGAACTGTGCAATTTGTACATAAGGAATTTTCAATTCAGCTTAATCTTACACCAGAAATTTTCAATACAAACTTGCCCCCATCAAATGTCAACTGACCAGTACGATGCAAATTTTCCACCGGTTATCTTCTATCTATCTATCTATCTATCTATCTATATATTTAAAAATGAATTTCTGTCTGTCTGTCTGTCTGACCCTTATAGACTCGGAAACTACTGAACCGATTGCCGTGAAAATTTGTATACAGGGGTTTTTGGGGCCGTGGAAGGTTCTTATGATGGTTCGAGACCCCTCCCCCTTCTGTAAGGGGGGGGGGCTCCCATACAAATGAAACAGAAATTTCTGCATAACTCGAGAACTAATCAAGCAAATGGAACCAAATTAGGCATGTGGGGGCGAGTGTGGGGGGTATAAGGAGATAATCATAGGGGGTAGCCCCTTAGATAATAGGGGGGGGGGGGGGCTACGTACAATATAGCATGCTTTTTTTTAAATCGGCGCATTAACTCAAGCTAATATTGAATCCCGAGCAAGACCGGGCACACTCAGCTAGTGTTCAATAAAAATTACTTCTCCAATCATCTGATTAGTGCAGATTTCCTTTTTCCATTTTCCACCAGACATTTTCAATATAGCTTGCATCTCCTATCATCAGAATGTTGCAGGTTTTCCACCAAATAAAGCTTGCCCATATTTTCATATTTTGAGAATGTTCAGTAAATCAGCTTCCCTCCAATCATCAGAATGGTGCAAATTTTTAGACCAGAAATTATTATTAAAGTTTGTATCTCTATTCAGCAGAAGGATGCAAATTTAAGACCAAAATTTTTCCAAAAAGCTTGCCCATCCGTTCACCAGAACGGTACAGATTTTCCACCAGAAATTTTCAATTTAGCTAAAATTTACGAATGTTTTATACCTGAATTTGTTGCCTGTATCTCTTCTAATAAAAAAGTTATACCCAAATATAGTAAAAAATATGAACAAATTCAAATTGATTTTATACGAGCTTAAAAAATAACATACCTCCAATTTTGTCATATTATTGAGAATAACATACGCCCTTTCAAATGCCGTAAAAAAACTTTTTTTTTTGTTTGCCCCAACCAGAGATATTAACATTCGAAACGTGCATATTTTTAGTATAAAAACGTCAATAACTCTTGATCGGCGAAAGATATTGACAAACTTTGTGAAGCAAAAATTTGCGCCTTCTTAAGATCTAAAAGTTATCTAGAGACACCTTTGCTGAGAAATTCTAAATAAGAAAACTAGAGCAAAAAAACTGTTTTTTTTAAGAGCCACCCTAACTCAACTCAAGAAAATAGCTCTAAATCGGCCAATTTAATAGATACAAAAAAGTTAATTTCAACAATGTTGCTTGAAATTAGCTCATCTATAACTTTGCCTAAGAATGTATACCTTAACTTATTCAAACAAAAAAGTTAGATTTTTGATTTTAATGATAATAGGAACCACCCTAGAATTCATTGTCATAAAAATGAGGGCCTAACTATAAGGAACAACTTTGTAGAAGAAACTTTTAGTCTAAAGTTTCAATTTCAGGCTCAAAACATATCATTCCACCTAAATCTGCATTCTGGACCACTGTGCAGTGAGAGTAAGTTTTTAAACTTTTATTTTCATTATTTATCTAGAGAATTTTATCTTAAAATTTCAGGTTTGATTTGGGAAGTTTTGGGAACTTTGTTTCGCAAAGATGTTTCGAAAAATCGTAGAACAAGTTCAAAGCCTTTCCTGAAGTTTGGAGAAGGTCATGGATGTCCTGAGTTCTTGATTGAACTGAGAGAACTTGGAAAAAATAATTATGAAACTTGAAAGTAGTTGATGAAACTTCGTAGAAGTTAAGAAGCGAAGAAAAGGAATGTTTGTAGATGTTCAAGGAACACTAGGGCAAACTTTCTGCCCCTCATGATTTATTTTGCGGGCGAATGCCTAATTTAATCTTCAACGTATAGCTTTTTCCGAGTAGTGAACAAATTCTTGTAAAAAAAATTATGTGTTTATTGAGTCACATCATATGAACCCATTGCTTCTGTAAATATGACTCAGAACTGATTCTGAAGGAGCTGATTCGGGCTCCGCAAACGGTAATATGACTCTCGAAGAAATCTGAGAGGAGCATTACTTGCGTGTCATATGCAAGTTTTTCTCCAGAAATCGATTCCAGTGAACCCGGAATGAACTCATGATCGTTCTATCTGATATGGATCATATGATCTCCAATTTGGGAGTAGGCCAGATTAGAAAAATTGCTTGCTTTCTTGACGCAAATTGAAGTGAACCAAATACAATCAGCAATTAAATATTACATCAATGGCCAAATAAATAAACTCGGTCAACTGCAAACAATGTAATGCATCAACAAATAGCTGGTCAAATAATCACTTTGTAGAGTCTGGCCAAATATTTTCCAAATATCAGACAAGTGTAATGGTTTAGGCAAACAAATATGACAAGAAGCATCATTTGGTAAAACTTAACGAGTCAAATATTTGTCGTGTGGGCAAACAGTGTGATACCATCCTAAGGCATAACAAAGTTGACAACTGGACAAAGATAAAATAGAAAACCACGGATTTGTAAACAGGAGGATGACTTACAAATCGTTTGCTTTACATTCTTCATCAATTGACCAAGGCTCTGGACAGCGATTCAAATGTTACATTTCACGAGCACTGTATTAGGTACCCTGATATGTTTAACCATTAAATATTTATTATTATTTTTTAAGTTGTTAAAATGTGCAAATCAAATTACTTCAGGTATGCATAACGCTTACAGAATAAATCACATAAATCACTAGATTTTTTTCCTAGCTGATTTGAACGCAGCTGTATGTTAGATCTCTTTTGACAAATCTTATGAGGCCATAGCTCATTCAATATTGATAGTGATAACCCATGTTCGGCACTTATCAGCTGTTAAGATTCGTCGAAAAAATGGCCTAGCACAAGCCTTAATCCACGTTTCTAATGCATAGAATATTTTTCACTTACATGCGTCATAACTGAGTCACCAATTACTATGCATAATTGAACATCAGCAAACGCAATGGTAAACGAAAATGATCAAATGTTTAGGACATTAGGTATTATAATACCCCGATCAACAAACAGCAGGACCGATTCTAAACTTTCTCCGCGCGCGCCGTTTGTTTTGGTCTCCCACCCGCACATACCTATTACTGTAACAGTGTATATAAACTAACCATCACATGACCCTGAACCGAATCTCGCAAAAAGAAACATTAGATATAAGAAGAAGCTGTTTTCCATTGTTGTTGTTCCTGTGCTCGTTGGGTAAATATCCACCAACAAAAGAAGAGCAGAACGCTCGTCTAGCGTTAATTATTCACTCCATCGCACCCGACCGACCGTCGTCGTCGTCGTCGTCGTTGAGCGTGTAAATTGTATATGTTTCATCCACCAGCTCTCAGTTTGCAATGTAAACAGATGCAGTGTACCTACCTGCTGCCCCCGCGGATGCCACCCGCACTGCCACTGCCCCCGCCACCGACGCCGTCGGTCGGCACGTATTATCCTCGTTCAGTTCCAAATCATCCAGCACCTTGTCGATATCCACCAGATCCATTTTGAAGGTTGCCTCCTATGACGATTTTCCTCCGCTTTCAGAGACGATTCCGTCCGGAGACACACGCACACAATACCGCGGTCCGCGAGTTACTACGTTTCGACAGTGCGATGCGCTAGCTTCCTTATGGAATGCATCGGCAAGCAGCCAAGATGGGGAAGCAAAGCACTAATTCTGCTTAGAAGATGACGACGAACGGACAAGAGCTCGGAAGGAAAATTGCACTTTTCGATTATCACTGCCAGCGTTGCTTCTTCTTGGGTGTTATCGCAATCGAACGGCTAGGCAATCCGATAATGGTGTTATCATTTTCCGTTCTAATTACATCGCGGCATTTGCAGAGCTTCGACCGGAACTATGAACCACGCACTTTACGACGGGTTTTACGGGCAGAATTTGATTCGAGACAATGTTTTTTGCCCAGGACAAAACCGAAACATGCAGAACGGAAAAAAAATCACTGCGCTGCAAATTCTTCCACAAAAGTTTTGACGTTCACGATCACGACTTTGATGACATTGTGATGAATTTTCGAAAAGGTTGCCGAAGAGGGAGGGACGAAGAGCGGGTCTGATGGTTTGACATTTATAAAGGAGCTGAACATTTACTGAGGCATTGCTTGTTGTGTCCAAAAGAGCGCGAGTTTCGACAGTGACGTACAGATGGCTGCGCGACAGGAACTCAAAAAAGGAACACGGCCGATGAGATCAACTCAAAATTTAGTAGTTTTTTACTCGAATTAATTATATGATTTGAGTAGTAACTATAGTGAAGATCCGAGAGATGTCGCCCCTTCAGTGGTAGGAAAATCATTTTTGAAGTATGGAGAATATAAGAAAATCCCCGATTTGTGACTAAACATGCTTTCACGGAAGGAAACAAATAAACGAGTGTTTACCTTATCAATATTGGAAGATTTCACGAGCAAACGACATCTAAGCGGCACTGGTGTGCTTGTGATGATCGAATCAAAATTTATGTCAAACCGCCCACAAATTTGTTATCAAGTATAAGAAAAATACTTTTTGGTACTCAAATAGTGGACATTGATGTGAATTTCTAACTGAAAGCGGTTAAAAAACGTTTTTTTTTCTAAACGATGGTAAGTAAATTAGTCAAAGGTATGCAGTGTAACTTGAATTTATTGGGTGTTATTTTTAGGAAGGAGGAAAGCCTACTCGGTCTGCTGTTCCCGGTTGTAGGACACAAGATGAGACCAGAATGTTTACTGCTCCCGGAAGGACTGACAAATTTTTCAAGAAGTGGTGCGATTTCATCAATCTCGCACTATATTTGACTTAATTGATCTTGTTTTTCAGTTTCTGAGAGATTTTATGTGTCAATTCACAGGGTTTGGACCAAATCAGAAACTAGTCACTTCCCTAGGGGTTCCTGAAAGATGCCTAGAAGTAAGAAAAGTGGTCCTGGGCACATTATTTGACTTCCATTGACCTTTGTTTTGAAATCTAATGTGATTTGCTATGTGGTGCATGATGGGTTTTGGATTAAATCAGAAACTGACCATTTTCTTGGAGGTGCCCGGAACATATCCGATAGGGGTCAACATGATTCTGTGCACTATATTTGACTACCATTGATATTGCTTTTGAAATCTAATGTGATTTGATGTGTCACATGATGACTTTTGGACCAAGTCAGAAACTGGCTACTTCCCTGGAAGTTTCCAGAACATGCCCGGAAGTGGCCAAGGTGGTCCTGGGTACTTTATTTGATTACCAATACGCATGTGATTTGATGTGTCGCATGATAGGTTTGCAATCTCCAGAACCGGTTGACGGAATCCAAAATTATTCAATAGCGTTCAATGGGACCACAGTACCTTTCATTTGGCGCTAGTTGTGTCCAATTCGGTGCAGCGGTTGCTGAGAAGCATGAGCGTATTCTTTTCGTTACACACATGAACACACACATACATTTTCCGATGTCATTGAGCTGAGCCGATTGGTATAAAAAACTCGGCCTTCCGAGCCTCGGATCGCAAGTTGGTTTCCCAAGCGGTGTATATATACCCTTCAAAAACAACAACAAAAATCCAGCAGAACAGAAGCGTCCGGATGTTTCCCTTGTGATCCTTTCGCAGCTGCGACGACAGGGCCGGCAGCAACAGCAGCACCGATAGCGCGATATATCGCTCTAGCTCTAGTTGGAACTACACCAATGTCAACAGCAGTCGATTGTTCCGCCCACGTTTCTTAGGCTGTGTTCCATTTGGCGAATTTTTACTTACCTGACAGATGGAAATTTTTCAAACAAACCTGCTATTGTACCAGACTTATTTCTGGCAAACAAGTAATCAATTTTGACGCACACGTTCTCGAAAATCGGCCGATCAACAACAGAGGGATTTTCGAACATCTTAATTTTTTTTTTCGAAGTGTTAAATTTAAGTGAAAATTCACCAAATGGAGCACAGCCTTAGAAAATCGAGGAACTAAATCGGTTTGTTTTGCAGAAAAAACCCCAACAACGAAACAAAACAACACAAAATCTCGAGTGCGATAGCTGTCAAACTAGTTTGGAACAGTGCTTACCTTGATCCAAATTCAATTAAAAATAGAGCGAGAACTATACTGGTTTAAAAAAATTACATTTTAGAACTAGTCTAAAACAAAATATAGACCACCAGTGCAAGGGCTCGGTCTTGGTCTGTTCCAAATTTTTAGACCAAACCAACCAATTGGATCGCCGCTAAAGATGCCCTGAGTATGAATACAAATTGAAGTAATGTTTGTGTTTTGGATACTCGTAGAATGGTAATTTACCTGAAGCAGATCCGTACTTAAAATCCGTATGTTGTATTTCCACTTTCCTGAACCGGTCAATGAAAATGCTGACGGCTTTTCCTCCGGACAAGCAGAAAAAGCAACACCAACGATGGAAGAAAGCACTGCGTTTGACAAGCAACGTGCCAAATGCTTGCTTGAGCGTGTGCCCGTGGCATTTTAAACCAGCGATGTATTAACCGGTAAATATCCGGAACACTGACCAAGAGCTTAGTAATTAACTAGGTATTTTGCATATCACATGTCCGGCGTCGAAAACGCAGCTACCCTCGCGGATTGGTCGGACGGAATCAGCTACATAGTCCAGTATGTCCACTAGAAGAATGCTGGTTTTGATTTCCTCCCGGCCATCAGCTGAAATTCAAAACAAACATCACATATCCCCACTTCGACTTGCAAACATTTTTTGAAGGCATTATAAGAAGGAAAATCCTGGGTAAATCGCATCAACAATGTATTTCACTTGTGACAATATTGAATTCTTACCTGTGGATGTCATTATTTTATTCGGGAAAAGATTTTAATGTACCGTAAATTCAAGTTTCGTTTTGCGGACCGTGGAAACTAATGCGGGAATCGAAGAAACATCCTCTGTTCACTAGTTCTTATTTCCACACACACGGATAGAAATCTCATTATACCTTTTGGCAAATTTCTATTGCTGATTATTCATAAAATGTATAAGTCAACTTGCAAAAAGTTAATGAAGATCATGTGTCAAATGAAATGTATAAGCGGTCACACATACCTTTTATGCATTCTTATAGGACCTATGTGGTTTGTCTTAAGGAATGTATAAGGCTGATGTTTTGGCAAAAATGTATAAGTGAAACACATGAAGAAAATAATTGATTTTCGTTTCGTGCACAGAGTTTGCATTTGCATTGCAATGCTTCATTTTCAAAATAAAAGCATTTTAAGATTGCACTCGTATACCTCTCCGTGGAAAATTTTGAAACCATCATCACTCTCATAGTTCTTCTATTCTCCACGAGTGCCAACTTTGATTTGCCAATAGACTGAGTGAATCCAATCTTGACTATTCTCATATTCGGTCATTTTTTCCTGGAAGTGCACTCAGGAAAATTTACTTAGCGCTGGTTTCTTGTACTTTTTGCAATTTAACTCAAATTTGGATTGATCTCATTAGCCGTACACATTTCTCAGTCGGTAAAGTAGGACAAACGAAAGAGAACTACTGGGCCATTTTAAATCCCTTTATTTTGCTTAATAAAAAACGTATTCACCTTAAAAATAAATAATTATTATTATTCTCTCCAACCGCAGCATCATCGGTCCGTTCCGGCATATAGCTGATTCGTGTCACCGATTACCATTAGCGCCAGCTTGATATTGGCTCTGGTTTCCACGCTTTTATCCCGGATCACATCGGCCTGTTTGGTGAGCACCTTGATCTTCATGTCCACAAATTTCAGCGCTTCATCCAGGGTGAACTCCAGAAAGTGCTTCAGTCCTATGTCCACCAAAATCCGGTCCACTCGGTCCGTCTTGCCTTTCATGAAGAAGTTTCCACCGATATTGACTTGCGTTTTGAACCCCTCGGCCGCGTTTTCCTGGATGTTTTCGATCATGTTCTTCAGCTGGACGTATTCCATGATTTCGCCGTTCATGTGGCTCAGCTGTTGGTCGTACAGTTTCAAATCCTCCCGCAGGAAGTCGTTGACGAAGCTTTCGATATTCTCCGGTGCTAGCCGGTTCTGATGTACCACGGCTGGAGTCATTGTTGTGGAATATCACTGAGAACTTGCGTTCGGAAAAATAGGCGATCAGAAGTTCTGGCAAACAAACTCGCGGTTTCTCTCGATTTAAATTTGTTTAGTAAACAAAGCACATGATGTGTCAAACATATGGTCCAGCTATTTGAAAAGGTCGTTAAAAAACTATCACATTCTATTAAAATCATATAAGTTATTGCTGCCATAGCATCAGTTACATCAAATGATTCAATTCTTTGATTATGCTTATTTATGAATGTAATCTTACCTGATCATAGCATATAAATGTGATTCATGGATTATAAAACCAATTCGAGTAAATTTCTACTAAAGCCCTTTTAAGTATATATAACTGGACCATGCCGAGGGAAAAGACATCTGCAACGCCCAACCTGCAAGCGTCAAGTAGTATCTCTAGACACCACTAGAGGCGCGTGTTAAATATTCGTGTGAGTAATAATTTGAGACACAGGTAGAGCAGTGTGTATTATTTTCGGTACGATTTTTGTTACGGAGATGACCGCCGAAAAAACAGCAGGCATGCGAAGATTTTGACTATGGCAAATCAAAGTTGGCACTCGTGGAGAATAGACGAACTATGAAAGTGATGATGGTTTCAAAATTTTCCACAGAGAGGTATACGAGTGCAATCTTAAAATGCTTTTATTTTGAAAATGGAGCATTTTATTTAAACCTGGTTGTTGCTACAGTTGTAGAAAAGCTGAAATCTATGAATACACCTTAAAATCTGAAAAGAAATTATTTTTTCTATATTATATATCTATTGAGTAGTCCTTAAGTTTTCTACTAACGTAGCATCAACCAGATTTAAATAAAATGCTCCATTAGCAAAATAAAGGCATTTTAAGATTGAACTCGCATACCTCACCGTGTAAAATTTTGAAACCATCATCACACTTATAGTTCACCTATTCTCCACGAGTGCCAACTTTGATTTGCCAATTGAAATGGAGATTTTTACTTCATATTTTATGCTCTGTCTTGAACATGTAAATTATGAATAATGTGATCAAATTAATTTAGTTTGTTTTGAAACAACACTTGATCGACCGCAGGACTCTATTGTAATCTTACCTAGCTGAAGCACCGACAAACCGACATGAAACTTAAACTTAACTCTTGATCGAGAATCCATAACGGCTGATTCAAATGTGCAGCGGTCCCATCTGTCAAAATCATAGAAATGTTTTATCTAGATAAAAATAATTTGTCGGAAATAGATCAGACACGAACCAACTCATAAATTTTGTACGCGTGTTCGTGGCTAGGATAAATATTTTCCACGAACACGGCGGCAGATGTCAGTTTTGCACTTTGATCAGAAATTTCTTTGTAATTTGTAAAGATCATTCATGTCGGTTTGTCGGTGGCTGAAGATCATTGAATATATTCTGATCAATGTGCCATTCTGAAAAAAAATGTAAGTCACGGTATTTCAATCTTTTAACAGTTGACGGTTTTCGCAATAAGAACGGCTAAACCTGAAACCAAAGTAATTAATTAATATCCTCAATCAACTGGAGATACTTCTTGATTAACCTGGCATCTTGGTGGCCCGTCACCTCCAAGATTCGTTACAAGAATGACTTCAACGACTTGACTTTAAATGATCTATATTTCTTGAATATAGTTTACTAGTCCTTTCAGGCCTGTTTTAGAAAATGACCACCTTGGTGGGATTGGTTTGTTTTAAATTGAAACAGAAAACTACTTATGACTAACCTACAACTACTATACACACCTAATCTACTATGTACAAATTTCTTATCAAAGCATGTTCTGATAAATTACATTTTTGTGCAAATTTAGTCTTAATTTCGTTAATTCTGGAATCTATTTTGGCAATGTCTGCCTCTTCGTGTAAATTTGTTATTCTAGTGTCGAAAGGCCGATCAAGAACCATCCTCAGCACTCTATTCTGAGCGACCTGAATTTTGTTCCTGTGAGTCTGTGCACATGTTTTCCACACCGGAGCTGCGTAGAGCGTGTAGCGTGTAGCTTGAAGATAGCGTTGGGTCTTTCCCGGGTTTGCGGATAGGTATGATTTTCGCTGTCTTCCAGATACTTGGAAAGTAGTGCAGTTCCAAACATCTGTTGAAGAAAGCGGTTAGATGAGACTGCACTTTCATGCTGAGTCTCTTCAAGATCAAGTTGAATATACCGTCAAACCCGGGAGCCTTCATGTTCTTGGTGCATTTCAGCGCTGAGCAAATCTGTTGTACTGTAATCATATCCGCCGGAGGCACTACACAAGGGGAGGCATCTAGGTTTTGAACGCATTGCGCAACCTGATCATCGAGCGGACTTTGGATAGTCGAGCCAAGCAAATGCGATGAAGCGACATGCTTGCCGATCGCAAAAAGTTGATTAAAAGCCGATCGTCATCATTTTCGACTCTGAGAGGTGGAATGGGTTTGGGATGAGTTTCCAGGCTACCTTCCAGAATGGTCTGAAGCGGTCGTCCAGATTCTGGACAACACGCCCGAAACTTTCATTTCGGAGTGAGTCCATGCTGGAAGCAATCTGTCTGTTCAGATCGGCCATTTCACGTTTTTCGTCCAGATCTCCAGTCTTCTGAAAGTGGAGTTTACGCACATTTCTCAAGCGAATCAGTAAATAATTGGGTGTGGGAAACAATAGCAACAAGCTTACCCCTCACAGGAGTTTCTCGAACACATGCCTCGTCAGCCACGAATATGGCATGTTAGAGTCCTTCCAACGCCCGGTCGATGTCCTCTACGGTGTCAAGCGGCGGATTTTCGTCGATGCATCTGCACCCAGTTGATGAGGTGGTAGTCTTTACGCAGGTAGCTTCTAGCAGGAACCACGTTGACACCGACTTCAGTCACCACCGGTTGGTGATCGGAGCTGAGATCGTTGTGCGCCTGCGGCTTGGATAGTCCGATGTTTGACAGGAAAAAGTCCAGGGTGGAGGGATTTCCCGCCGGAGAGATGAAAGTTGGTTCATCCGAAAATTGCACAGTGTACAGTCCATGTTGTGCGTGGTCGAACAATAGACATCCGTTCCGGTTCCGCTGGTAGATCCGCCAAGCTTCATGGCGGGCATTCAGGTCGCCCCCAACGATGAATCGGGAGCTAGTACGAGTGATGGCGGTCAGGTCGTTCTTGAAATGGATGCCTAGGCCGTTGCTTGTGATACACTGGCGTGGGCAGTAAACAGCGATAAACCGGACGCATGCGGAGGAAGTCGGCAAGCTCAATCTGTTTTGCTTTTATAGAGCAAGCGTTCCAGGTAGCGATGGTTAGCGGTTTAGACACCATACTGGATGATGAACTTACCGAGCACTTGGATCTGTTCGGGCTTATTGCGGCACTTATGTAGGGCACCGGTCATGTTGATGAAAATCTCCATCAATTCATCCGCTGTGAACTGATCGGGATTATTTGGTTGATGTGTTGGTTGTCTCCAGAATCCAGGTGGCATGGAGAGCTTTGTCCAGCAGAAGATCCAGACGTTTCTTGAGGGGGGCGGTTCGCACCCTTGGATTCGCTTGTCCATGAAGAGGCGGAAAGTCCTCCGCCCTGAAAGCCTGGGCCTTATCCTTCCTTCGTGCTGGTGGATTGTTGGTGGACGCCTGATTTCGGATGCGCTTGAAATCCTCACGTTTAGGGCACTGCTTGTTGGATCCTTGGTGATCACCACCACAGTTGGCGCATTTTAACGCCACGGCTCCATCCGCAGGGCAGTCGGAAGTGGCGTGGTCTTGAGCGCAATTGCCATAGCGTGGCTTGATGTTGCAGTTGCGGGTGCCGTGTCCGAAGTTCAGACACCGTTGGCACTGAGTCACATCACGATGGCCGCCACGGTATGGCTCCCAGCGGACGATGATGGAATTGATGGAGCGGATGGCTTTCAGCGCGTTGAGCGTCACCGTTCCCTTCTGGAAGTGTACCAGGAAAAGGCAATCCGGATACGCCTTCACATTCTCGTCTCTTCTTGTCATCCGATAGACGGCACTTGGGGCCAGCTTGTACCGGTCCCTGATTTCAGCTTCGATAAACTTCGGGTCGAAGTTTGGTAGGCCCCTGATGACGACCTTGAATGGTTTCTCACCGGGAATGTCGTGGGTGAAGAATTCCACCTTGGAAGTCCTCAGGTGGGCGACGACCAAGTCATACTCCGCTTTGGTACGGAGCACCATCTTGGTGCCGACTCTGCCCAACTTGTATTCGGCTTTAACGCCCAGCGTCGCTAGATCTGCGATGAGCTCATTAAGATGGGCATTTTTCTTTACCAAGGTAGCTTCACTTTTGCCGCACTCGGGCCGGCAGAATTTTCGATGCCGATGGCGTCGCCGAAATCACCGATGTCGCTGGCGTTCGTTGCAGTGACATCGGACTAGCCTCGATTCTTCTTCCTCTTCTTGTTGCGTTTTTCCAACACAGCTGGCTGGATATTCCCATTCATGGGCCATGGGGAGAACAGCAAACCTGTTCGAGATAGGCACACCGGAGCTTCCTTCACCGGGGTTCTGGACCTTCGCCGGGCTTCGCGACCGATGCTTACACACACGCACGACAAACCGCGAAAGAGAGAGCGCGAACACTATCGCCACAAGTATGGGCCAAACTAAAGAGCAATATAGAGGGTCTTTGAAATCTCGTGCAATCTTCGAAATAAATCCCAGTTGACGATTCGCCTTAGAGATGATCGAGGAATAGTGAAGATTGAAGGTCAACTTTGGGTCCAAAACCACACCAAGATCAGTCATACGTTCTACTCTGCGAAGCGTTACATTGTCAATGCAGTTGTCGTAGAGGATTGAACTCATAGAGCGGTGAAACGTCATCACTGTACGCTTTGGTACGCTGATGATGAGCTTATATTGCGACAGCACCAATCCACAAACAAATCTAGCAGTGCTTGAAGACGATGACAATCCTCAATCGAGTGAACTATGAAGTATAGCTTAAGATCATCTGCATAAAAGACCTTGCATTTAACTCCCAACAAAGCTGCTACATCGTTGAAGAATAACGTAAACAAAAGTGGACCCAGGTTACTTCCCTG